TTTGTTCTTGGTCTCACACTTTCCTCACAACAACTAATGGAGTCCTGTCACCGTGTTCCTGCCCACCATCTCCCCTCACAATAACTAATAGAGACCCTTCACCCTTGTTTCTGGTCTCTGTCTCCCTCCCTTCACCATGATAAACCTGCAGCTATTAATCCCCTTCAATTCACCAACAAATGGAGCCGAGCTGGAGCCCAAAATTTGTGTGTGTGAAGCCTATATGGTCCAGGATTAGTTATAATATCACTTGAGTGAAATAATTTATATATTATGCACGAAAGGGTTTAAGAATAAACTAATCCATTCCCATTTCTGGTTAAAAATATGTTATTCCAATATTTTATAATATATTATTCATATTTTGTAATGAAGATTTTTTGTATTATTTTATTAATGTTATAATTATTATTATTATAGTTTTAGTTATTATTGTTATAGTTTTAGTTATTATTTTATTATTAGTATTATTTGTATTAGATCATTATTATTATGAAAGAGAGAGAGAGAGAGAGAGAGAGAGAGAGAGAGAGAGAGAGAGAGAGAGAGAGAGAGAGAGAGAGAGAGAGAGAGAGAGAGAGAGAGAGAGAGAGAGAAGAAGGAGAAGAAGAAGAAGAAATGCCAACTACTACATGGGTCATTAATTACTAACTTTCCCCAACATCATCCAGGGGAAGGCGACTACGAATCACATTTGCGGCTGAGAAAACACTGGCCATGATAATAACAAGACAGCATGACATTAAAAATTGGTCAAGGATACAAATGAGTCGCAAAACATAGATCATGACGATGAAGACAACATATTGGAAGGAAATTTACCTCTTCAGAGGACCTTAAAAAGCCACATGCTAAACCCATCAAGCTAGGCAGCCTGGAAACTTACAGTCCTACTGTTTGGATGAAGCTGAAACATGGTTTAAGTTGAGGTATGAGGATGAAGGGAGCCGGTCGGCCGAGTGGACAGCACACTGGGCTTGTGATCCTGTGGTCCCGGGTTCGATCCCGGGCGCCGGCGAGAAACAATGGGCAGAGTTTCTTTCACCCTATGCCCCTGTTACCTAGCAGTAAAATAGGTACCTGGGTGTTAGTCAGCTGTCACGGGCTGCTTCCTGGGGGTGGAGGCCTGGTCGAGGACCGGGCCGCGGGGACACTAAAGCCCCGAAATCATCTCAAGATAACCTCAAGATGAAGCACTTAAGAGTGACACAGCTCAAACCCGGGTCGTGAGTAAAACAGTGTTCATAAAACAGCTGAACATCGTCAACAAGATGTTCGTAACTGCATTTTATTCAGAAAAAAGTGAGTGAGGTTACTGCATGAACCGAATTGGTTCACTTTGTTAATGCCACAGGTCGGAATTATAAATCAAACGTCACAAAAGTTTCCAGACCAACCTTGCGGTGAAGGCGATGAGTCACAATAACGTGGCTGAAGTATGTTGACCAGACCACACACTAGATCGACTTGAGAATGGTCCAGAACGGACCGAAACGTCGTCGTCCCTTCAACTTCTAGTGTGTGGTCTGGTCAACTTGCGGTGAATCATGCGTCTGACAGCATACAGCTGCCACTAACAACCTAGTTGACTAGACCGTCACGATGAAGGCCTGATCATTGACTGGGCCCTCGGGGACATTAATTATCGAATCTACATGAAGGTAACATGTCTGTTGAAGCTGCGGCTGTCCCGAAAGGCGCAGAGGTTTTTGTGTTTTTGCTTGTCTTGTGATAACTGACATGTGTACTCTGGGGACGACTAACATCACCTGAGAATATTTCTTCACTCAAGTAAGGCTAAAACAAATTACGGCAACAGCACCAAAAAGTCTTACTTAACCAACCCTAGACTTGCCGATACAACAAAAACTATAATAAATATAATAACAATGATCTATTATTAAGAAGATACCAGTTTGTATTACAAAGTATTTACAAAATTATGAATGCGGCTTCAAGGTTTCTCGGAGCGAAGCATGTGTAAGACGAGGTGTATTCAATCACTTAAGTTTTCTTAACTGAAGCGACCGCACAACAGGAATCTTTTTTAATAGGCACAGTCTCGCAGTTGTGTCGTTGGCAAGAAAAAGTTTTAATTAGAAATTCTGATAATTGCTGGATGAACGTCGTGGAAATTCAAACCAAACGACACAGAGCCAACATGGGTGCCAGGAGGGCCAACCCCTGGCACTCTACCCATGATGTGTAATTCCTCCATCGCTCGTTCGTCACACGTGTGAGTTAGGCATCTGTTGCTAGCGGTCTAATGTACTGAAACATTTCTCTCTGATCTCTTGGTGCATCTGAAACTCATCTACTGGTACATTTGTCAGTCACATACTTATAATCTGCTGCATCTCTAAAGGCCCTTTGTCAATCATGAACTGACATAATTATCCATAGGAAAATAAACAAATACAATAAAATGAAGCAAGAAGACAAAGAGAAAGAGAGAGAGAGAGAGAGAGAGAGAGAGAGAGAGAGAGAGAGAGAGAGAGAGAGAGAGAGAGAGAGAGAGAGAGAGAGAGAGAGAGAGAGAGAGAGAGAGAGAGAGAGAGAGAGAAAGAGAGAGAGAGAGAGAGAGAGAGAGAGAGAGAGAGAGAGAGAGAGAGAGAGAGAGAGAGAGAGAGAGAGAGAGAGAGAGAGAGAGAGA